TCCAAGAAAGAGTATCTGACCAACTTCGCTGAACCCAAGACAGGTTAGATTTTGCATGCAAAGCATGCCAAACACGCTCAGAAAATGGGCAAGCAAAAAAAAGATAATCCAAGTCCTTCTCCGAACATCCACACAACAAACAACGTATAGACTGTACCAAACCAAAGCGAAACAACTTTGTCTGTGTATAAAGGCTACCCTGAATTGTTAGCCAAAGGATAAATGCATGACGGGGAATGTACTTAGGAAACCATACAATGTGATACCAAGTCACCCTAGGGCAACGAAGTCGAATAGACTCCCAAGTACTCCTAACAGAGAAGACTCCATGCACATCATCCACCCATCGTAAGACATCCTCTCTAGTACTATTCGGCGGAAAAGTATCAAGTGTATCTCGCATTAGATTAGACAACACTGGGGAACGAGCTGATGGCCACCTCCAACTATCACCCTCAACAATATCATCCACCTTAGCTAATCTACTTAATCTAGATTCATGAATGATCCTCTCACCAAGAATCTTCTGTAAAGGGCCAGAGGATGCCAATTATCAAACCATAGAGAAGCACGTCTACCGTTACCAATTATAAATCTCATTTTGTCCCTCCCCATCTCCCGAAGTGCAAAAATCTTCCTCCAGCTCCAAGAGCAATCCCCAGGACACTTCAATTCCCAAATGCTTCGACCTTTAAGTAAGTAACTTCGTGCCTACGAAACCCAAAGAGAAAAGGCAGAATCCGTACAAATAGACCAAAGGTGTTTTAACATAGCAGCTTTATTCCAAATCTCTATGCTCCGCAAACCCAAACCACCCTCCTTCTTAGGCATACAAATTTTCTCCAACGCTACTTTAGTCCTTCCGGTGCCAAGGTCAGAACCCTTCCACAAGAAGGCACGTAGAGTAGCTTCCACTTGCTTGATCACGGCCTTAGGTAAAATAAATACGGAAAACCAATATACCTGAATAGAAAATAATACGGACTTAATAAGTTGTAACCTTCCCGCATAGGAGAGTGCTTGACAAGTCCAAATCTTAGCCCTAGCTATAATACGATCAACCAACATCTTACAGTCCAAAGCCCGCAAATTGGTAGAGATAAGTGGACTGCTAGAACTCCCTCCTTATACCCCAAAACATCAAGCAGCTAATCCTTAAGATATGGAGAAACCCCACTAGCAAATAAATTACTCTTATCGGGATTAGGAATAAGACCGGAAAGAGCTTTGAATCGATTAAGGCATTCCCCAATGAGAGAAATAGAACCTACCTCAGCTCTACAAAAGATCATAAGGTCGTTAGCAAAACACAAGTGGGTGATCTTCTCTTTCTCACGCCTCCAGTGGTACTTAAAAAATCCTGCTCTGCAACCATCAACCCCATTATCCCTGAAAATACCTCCACTGCCAATATAAACAAATATGGCGATAACAGATCTCCATGTCTCAAGCCTCTCCCACCAGTGAAGAAACCATGTAACTCGCCATTAATGAAAATCAAAAACTTAGTGGTAGTGACACATTCAGTAATCCACAAAACAACCCTCTCCGGAAAACCAAGCACCCTTAAAACTGCAAAGAGAAAATCCCAACGAACAGAATCATAGGCTTTTATGAGATCAACTTTAAGAGCACACCTAGTCAGTCCTCCACAACGATGATAATTCCGTAATAGCTCTTGGGAAAGAAGGATATTATCGCTAATATGCCTCCTTTAACAAAAGCAGTTTGTTGAGGTCCAACAATGTCTGGAAGCACCAGCTTAACTCTATTTGCAATAAGCTTAGCAACACATTTATAAATAGTATTGCAATATGAGATAGGCCTAAAGTCACCTACCTTAGAAGGATTTGGAACTTTAGGAACCAATGCGATGATAGTAGCATCGACTTGCTTCAATAGTTGCCCCGAGTCAAAGAAAGACTTGATGGCACGCAGAACATCATTCCCCACAATATTCCAGTCCTCTTGAAGAAATCTGCATTAAAACCGTCATGCCCCAGAGCCTTGTTGTCTTTCAAAGAGAACAAAACCTCCTTAATCTCCTCAAACGTCACATCTCTATCAAGCGTTTCATTCTGCCTCGCTGAGATACTCTTAGGAAGAGTTCTTCGAAGCAAGTCCATATCCAGACTCTCACCACTAGGCTGCCGTCCAAGGAGATTTTGATAGAATTCAACAATAAGTTTACTAACCTCATGCGGTTCCTCCACTCTAGTATTATCATCTCTACAAATGGAAACCACCTTATTCCTGCCATAGTGACTTTTCATAGCCTTGAAGAAGAAAGCAGTATTCTTATCCCCTAAATTCAGCCACTTAACA